GGGGGGCGGTGAGAGAAAATTGGCCCAGAGCAAACTCACAACATGACCTGATTAGTTTTCAGTCTTCAGGAGGGCTGCTCAACTCTCTATGCCTTCTGCTCATATTTTCAGCATCTTATTCTCCATGGTTTTACTCTTCTTTTCTGAAACATTACTTAAGGATTAAAAGCTGTATTTATCTAATATAAAAAGCAACTTTCACACTCAAGCCCACTGATTTTAAGTGGAAATAAAAGTATTCTAATTTATTCTTTCACATTAATAATCAGTAGGAAAATATTATCCCACTTTTGAACATTCAATTCCCTACAGCCTAAAAAAAGGGAAGACCTGGGACAATGTACTAGGGAGACAGGCAGACCTTGACCAGCTGTATGTAGGCACTTCGTGCTATTAGATGTTCTCTGCAACATTTGGCTGACTGCTACTCCGCTGGCAGTGTTCACACAGGACCTGAGTGGTGTCTGCCATCCTAGAGATGTATTTCTCAGATCCTTTGGGACATCCCCGGTGTCATTAGGCTTGCTAATAATCATAATTCACTGAGAGTAGCCCCGCAGAGAAGGACTTAGGGGTTTTCGGTTGGATGAAAAGCTGGGCATGAGCCAACAGTGTACCCCTGCAATGCAGAATGGTGGCTGCATCAAAAGCAGCGTGGACAGCAGGTCAAGGGACATAATTCTCCCCCTCTATTCTGCCCTCATGAGACCCCCTCCCCATCTGGGGTCCTAATGACAAGAAAGACAAGGACCTCTTAGAATGAGTCCAGAGGAGGGCCACCAAGCTGATCAGAGGGATGGAGCACCTCTCCTGCAAAGACAGGCAGAGAAAGTTTGGGTTCTTCAGCCTGGGGAAGGGAAGGCTCTGGGGAAACCTTGTATCAGCCTTCCAGTACTTAAAGGGGACCTATTCAAAAGATGGGGGACAAACATTTTAGCAGGGCCTGTTGCAATAGGGCAGAAGGGGTAATGATTTTAAACTTAAAAAGTGTAGGTTTAGATATATGAACAAATTTTTTTACTATGAAACGCTGGCCCAGGTTGCCCGCAGAAGTGGTGGTTGCCCCATCCCTGGACACATTTAAGGTCAGCTTGGAGAGAGCACTGAACAAACTGATCTAGTTGATCCTGCTCATTGCAGAGGGCTTGGATTGGATGGCTTTCACAGGTCTCTTCCAGCCCAAACTATTCTATGATTCTATGATCTTTAAGGACCCTTCCAATCCAAACCCTTTTATGATCAAGTCTTGATATCTCTGTTAAGCTGTCAAAGATACAGATGCTGCTGTTGGACATCTCCACAAAGTTGTTTTCCCCTTATTCAATCCTTAGTAAGAAAAAAACCTGAATCAGAATGAACAAGATTTTATTTTTTTTTTCAAGTCATTGACTGGATTAGGTGTTGCAAGTGTACATGTATATACATATAGCTACCTATATGCAAAGTACAAAGTATACATACCATTTCTGTACTTGGGTGGTTAGGATTTGAGACTGTCTAATGTTGTCTGACAAGGGATATGGCATATCTATAATAAGGCTAACAAGGGAAGTGAACTTTAATCATGTATCTAACAAACACTATTATTGGGGAGTTTAATTCACTGTGGCAACAAACAGCAGTTAATGCAACCAAGAAGTAACATTGCTAGAAATGTTGTGTAACAACGCAGACCTTAGAAAAATGCACACTTTTTTTTTTTTTCCCCCAAAAGGCTGATGAGATGCTGCACAATCTATTAAAAAAAGGAAAAGACAAGGTAGATACTCGTTCTTGATCTGAGAGGGCATTAGTAGCTCTGGATCCCCCCGTGGGCAGGAGTGGCTTCCCCAGTGCTTTCTGTCATAGCCAGGAGAAATTTTCTGCTATTTATCTCCTCTGGGACTGAAGGAGGCACAGAGATTGTCTGCTTAATTCATCGGTCCCACTGCTTCACACACACAGTTTTAACTTGACAGTAAGTGGCTATTTTAGAGCACAGCCTTATTTCAGTGCACTGTTCTGATGCTATCTGTGCTTATAAAATGATGCTGTCTTTGTTGACTATATTCTGTTTGGCATTCCAAAGAGCAACCGTAGAAGATATATAATCCCAACTTCAGTTGTGCTTTGTAATGTTGTAGAACATGTAGACAGCATATATTGTAGTGATATTTCAGAGCAGTTATATTCCTAGAACCACAGTCTGCATACCTCTTTCATGGAGAAATCTGCCACCTCCATCTCACCAAGCTTTCTACTCTTCTGCCCAAGTGTCATATTTAGGAGCAGCAGTTTCTTTCAATGATATTTGAAGTTTATTTGTAAAGCCACTGCAAATCCAGAAATTGCAACGTTTTATGTCAGTGGTACGTCTTCAAATACTTCAGCAAAATTCACTCATGTACCTCTGTGATGTGATAGCTTTCAAGCACGCACCAATCTGCCCTGAGTCCTTTGCAGACACTGGAGTACTCATCTCTGCAACATTTGTTACGGTGCTGGTTCCTAAAATGATTTCAACAGGTGAAGGGAACTGAGAGACTGCAAAAGACTTGTTCTACTAGTTGATGATGCGCAAACCAGAATCTTCTAATCTTTGGGCTTTTGGTCCTTGTCTTGGAGTCTTCTCTTGTGACGTGAGCACCAAAAGTTACACTGCAGTGAGCAGAGTCCTTCTCTTCCCCTTGAACATGGCCAGCAGCCAACATCCATAATCAGCTCTTACAGCTGAACTGTGAGTCTCACAGCCCTGGGTAGATCTGAAAATGGGTGTTTATTGAGAATGTGATTTGAAACCTAAGCATCCTGGATTATAACTGTTCCCAGATCTCTTAAAAGGCCAGCTACTTCTATGCACACTGCCTAGGAATTTCATGGGAGCTACTGAAAATCAAAAGCTAATTTATTTATTTATGTTTTTTAATTCAGCCAAAGCTTTTGTCCTAATAACTTCCCACATTATCTATTCATATAAGTTATATGCAGTACAATATTCCCTTCTACAGATTACACATCCTCATCTTTATTCTTGCAGGTTTTGGCAAGGAGGTAGCAGGAGAGAAAGGAAAGATCCCAACTACTTTCTGTAATTTAATAATGTCATTTGTTTTAACAGTAGGGATAACACTAGTGGTTCAGTTGGTTTGCATGTGTGTGAATTAATTACATCAGAGTAAAAATCACATTTTAAAGTTAAAAAAACCTAGATTTTAATTGGGTTCTTTGTGATGGATGTTTTGCCTAAACAGCAAACAGAGCTCTCAGATAGTGTTTCTATTTCAAAATTGGTTGCATTTGGTTTAATCATCAATGTAAACTGATGCTTTAAAAATAATTAACAACAAACAATTGCTAACTGCGTAGAAAAACACCCTTCTGAGGACAGACTTTACCAGAACAGATGATTACAAAAACTTTTTTCTACTGTACAAATAGAAAATCCGTGAAGGAAGCATTATTTAGTGATTCTTAAAACTACTCACAGCAAAGTAAGAGGAGATTTGGATGAGAGGAAAGGCAGAATCCAGACCTGGAAATGTTTATTTACTATTGCAGTTCTAGTAACCTCAGTGATTATACCCATAAATAGATACTAATAGGCAAGTTTTCACATCAAAATCCATAAGCTAATTGTATTTCATTTCCTATTGAAAACCTTCTGTGAAAGACAGAGATAAGATTAATTGGGTAGTGGATCTTTCTTCAAAAAATTACATAAATGAAATTTTGTATATAGTTAGGAGGAAACGACAGTGTTGTGTATTGCTTATGTTCAGAAACTGGAATATGAGCTAGGCAGCATGAAGATGGTGACACTACAAAACAGAAATAAAGTAATTTTAATAAAGTAGACGTAAAAATTCCCTTTATCCTGAATTTTGAAACTAAAAGGTAATATCTTCCATTCAGCAAGAATGAATTATCCCTAACCCTATTTTACAGTATTAGGGATAAGATCACTTGCTTGACCATATCACAGATGCATGCCATTTGGTACTTTACCAAGTAATAGCATGGCATTTTTTTTTTCCCCCACTAATTCTTACCCACTGAATATGTAATTTATATTTTTCCAGATCAGGAAGTTGGAAAGTTAAGGACTAAAAACGTGCTTTGCTGATTTTCTTGTTGTGCTGTATCAGTTGTTAGTCTCTGTGTGTGAATTTTCATGTAAGTGCTGATGTAGCTTTGATATCTCCAGGAAAAAGGCTGCAAACAATTTGGTTCCTTCAATATAGTTGTGTCTGTGAAGAAGGAAAAAAAGACAATGAAGTCCTGTCAGGCTGTTCTGCTCTTGGAATTAGCAACATAATCTAGTGAAGTTTTTAGAGTCTTCAGAGGAATTTGCAAGATTGCTAACCCCAAAAAAGGACCCAGTGCACAGAAATGATGGACATCCTTCAATTTGGTACTCTTCTAAAGGATTCACTTCAGAAAATTTTTCCAGTGTTACATCCCCAAATTTCTATTGTCTGCAGCTATAAGTGTTGAGGCTGTAATGAGGGGAAACAGAAAGCAATTTGAGAATTATTGCAGTATTCTCCAGTTTCTGGAGTTCAGCATGAGCAGACTTGGAAGCTGCACAAGCGTTCAGGCAACACATTGAATAGTGTCTTGCCATAGTACCTTGAAGAATGAGCACAAGTGGCTATTTGTGCCACTTTAAACTATTTTTTATATAATTACACTAGTTTTGGTCCCTGAAACATAAATGTATCTTGATAGCTGTTTATACAGAAAACCATCAAAATCTTTACATAGCCATGAGCCTGCATATCTATGACTTGCAAGCTTCAAAATGGATGCTGTGACAGAAGAGTGCCTGACTACATCACCATCTTTCAGACTAGAGGCAAATTTCGTTGCAAGGGAAATGAAAATTGCCAATGTGATGTATTTAAAGACTGTGTAGACACTCAATGAAAAGCATATAGCATATAGCATATACGATAGATTGGGAATTTTGCTTTCTGCTTAGCATAGCAAAAAGTTTGCTGGAGACAGTAGTTTTGAACTGTCAAATGCACAGCAAAGCTTCCCATCCAGCCATGGTCATTTGTGGGTACCAAGGGACTTCAGTTCTCCTCCCTTCTCTAACAACACAAACAGATAAATAAAAGAAACCTGCTTATTTTCTCATTCTGAGAGTGCTCCCCATCATCAGCTGCTCCAATTGGAAGCATCATCACACTTTTCTGCGTTATGGTCTGGAACATTCTGGCAACAGGAATTGTTGAACCATCACGAATAAAATCTGGGTCTTCTCCAAAAACTGAAATACGTGGGAAGAATGAAATAATGATTAAGTGAAATCAAAGTGCTTTTTTTTCTGTTTCCATATATTTAAGCAGATAGCTGATACCAAGAGCTTCTAAGTAGAAATGGTTTTGAGTGTGTAGCCAACTGATTTCTGGTTTCATATCAGCACAAAAATAAGTAAATGAGGTCTTTTGGCTACTCCTAATAAACATAACCCAATTTAGCAAGGTTTGAAAGATGTTGCTGAGTTGTTTTATCAAAATCAATGAGATTATAGGGGTAAGTGGCTGTAGCACTGAATTGGGAAACCTCTTTTTCTCTGTTGATGAGCAAATTCCCCTGCACACCTGCAGACACATTAAGAACTGAAAAAAAAAGAAGGAACACACCTGTTTTTATTGCCCTTCTTGCTGCTTTATAGGATAGATCATTAACATCAGCAAGCCAGGGCTTTGCACCCAAAGGCATGGATACTTTCAGTTTGTTTGGACTGTTCCTCTTGGAAAAGACACCCTCCAAGTGTTCCACCACCTGCCGAGAAAACATTTTGCAGTCAGACGCTATCTTCCTGTAACTCCAGTTTATACCCACATTCCCATTTCCCTTGGAAACAAATCAGTGCTAGAAACATTCAGTTTACTACAAGTCTAAATTTGTGAGGTGCTAAGAAGGACTCAGTTTATACAAGAGAGGCCAAAGAAAAGGTTTGTCTCTTACCTGTTGTTTCACAACCGAAAGGTCCATGTGGGGGACCTGACGAATTGAGAATTTGCCGATTACTTTTGCTGGAATGACCGTTTTAATTCCTGGTTCATGAAAAGCTCCTTCGATCCCATGAATAGAGAGAGAAGGGTAACGCCACAGATGTAGAAGTATTTCTTCCTTCAAAAAAATTTTAGTTGAAAATATAAGGGATGACACTGAGCCATTCACAATTTATATAAAGTAGCATGAAGAAACAAGCTTTTGCCATCCTAAAATTTGTATTTGGAGACCTCTGTATTTTAAAGATGTTTGATTTTTAATTTAAACCCATACACATATATTTTCATTTTAAAAAACTACTATTTCTTTGAGTCATAGAAAGATTCAGATGATAACAATTTTTCATGCCAAATTAGAGAAATGGAGCATTGTCCTAAAGTATCTTGATGGTAGATTTTTCTAGTGCAAAGTAGAATCAGAGTGAGTTCTGATCTATTTGTTTATCCCAGAACTAAGCATGGGAAAAACCGTTCAGCCAGACCTCTCCCAGATGATATCAGTGAAGAAATTCTACTAAGGAACATTAAATAATACCATAGGTAAGATGATAATTTTCAGTAATCAAGTTTTTCTGGAGAAGATGGACAGGGGAAAGCAAATTATTATTCTAAGGAAGATAGGAGAAATATATAAATTATTAACTGATCTTCATGCAGAACCTCAAGGTTCTGCTTTCCTTCTACTCCTGTTTTGAGACTAGATCTTTATCTACACATAAAATTTGAACCACTTCATCCTCATATAGGTAAAGCATCAAAACTCAGTGTAGCTACATTCTGCTTTCATATTACTGGTTATTACAGTCTAGCTTTAGCTAGTGTGGAAGCTTTATCATGGAAATAAAAGCATCCATGTTAGTACATCTTATACCAGTATAATTATGTTAGTGATAAAAAAATGAATCACTCCTTTCCCCCAGCTCCCACTCTTGCACAGAGATGTTTCCAAGCCAGCCGTTACCTGCTGTTTTTTATTTAGAATGTAATTTTTAATTTGCTGGTAAGGAGAGGCTTATAGCTTTGGATGCTTTTTTTTGGCAGACACCAAAACCTGCATTAAACAAATAAACCCCATGCAAAACATATCTGCCTCAAGCTGCCTTCCATTTTTGAGAACTGAATACAACTTCTTTCCTACCATTTAAGCTAAATACAGACATTTTAATTCTTATTTTATTTGGCTGGTTAGGCTTGGGGTGAGAAAAGGGATAGGCAATGAAGGGAGAGCAATACTGTTAGTTTTGCATTATTCCTTTTCATTGATTATTCATATTTCATATCCCTTTCCCCAGATGCAGTGCCTTACATCTTTGGCAGACTAATTTTATTTACTTTCTACTTCTCAGTGCTCCTTTATTTTATTTTGAGTTTGCCATTGACTGAAAATATCTTTCGGTTTGGCTTTATACATAAATGCTAAAAATGAGTGATTTAAATTCCTTCTGCATAGTATTTACACAGATATTTTGTTACCTTGGTGCCAAAGAGGAATTTTTTCACACCACTATTATTTTTATGTTCTTCTAGATCAAATTCAATCGATTCATATAATTTCCTCTCCTCCTCTGTCAGGGCAGCAACACTGTCATAGATTCCAGGGATCATAATATGACCTGTGGGATCCACAAGGCTGTCTACAAAATAAGATAGAGATATCAGTACAAGTGGAACCTATTTTTTCCATTTAGCAACCATAACACCTTTTTGCTTCTACCTAACTCTTTACCAGATTAGCAAGCCTAACAACTGACAATTGTTTGCATCCATCAGACTTGATATATTTTCGTATTTATTAAGAAAACTATTGAGCTGCTGTTTGTGTGTAGTGTGTGGTACATCAGCCCAGCTTCTGACATGAAAACATCATCCCAAGACACAAATTAGCATTAGAAAGCCAGGTTTCGTTATGTGTGTATGCATTAAAGTTTCCAGCAATCCTTATATGTTCTTAATCGACACCTGACTGACATCAGCTTTACATGTCTGAAGTCCTGGCCTTATTGGGGGCATTCCCTTCCTCAGCTGCTGTCACCATGGCTATGCTGAGGTTTGGAAATCTTCCTTTAATCAGACTCGCCTTATTCAGATCAATTAAACACGGTACTGATCTTTGTTAGGCTGATTCTTAGCCACTGCTCCCCAGTTACTCCCAAGCAGTGATGTGTGTTATTACCTAGCAGAGCTATCAGATCCATCAGTGGCTCGTGAATGATGCCTCCAAAAGTTCCAGAGTGAAGGTCCTTGCTGCCACATTCAACCTGTATCAAAAACACCAGTTACATGTAAACACTCACCACCTTATTCCTCTGTGAGTGTTTGTTGTCCACTGCGACTGGCAGTTTCAGTTTTTAAATGAGACCACAAATGAATATAAACGATTATTTGTTTCTATTTATAAAGGGAAAACATCGTGTCAGGAACAATACACTTTGGTAAAGCGAAATGGGTCTCTGTCAACCACTAGAGAGAGAACTTCAGCTGTCTGTAGCACTTACACATTTCATGGAATCACAGAATATGCTGAGTTGGAAGGACCCACAAGAATCATCAAGTCCAACCCTTAGCCCTGCCCAGGACTATCCCCAAGAATCACGCCCTGTGCCTGAGAGCATCATCCAAATGCTTCTTGAACTCTGTCAGGCTTGGTGCTGTGACCACTTCCCTGGGGTGCCTTCTCTGGGGAGCCATCAAGTGCCCAATCGTAAAGGTTCCCTTGTATTCCCTCTTTTGCTTCAGTAAGACTAAATACATCATAAGTGAAACATTTGCATATTACTGTTTCTAATGTTGGAGAATAAATTCTTCAAGTTGTCTATCCTTTTTATTTAATGCAAAATCTTCATAACAAAGGCAAGAATGTATCTTACTTGTTTTATATTAGAAATATATGTCCAACCTTAATTCCAAATTGCAACAAATAAAAATTTATAGGTCTTTTGAATCATATGGCTTTAGAATAGATGCATTTGGGTTATTTAATGAGTTTTTTCCAGACATATTTTCATACCTGGCTTTATCATAAAATATTTTCCTGTAACAAACTTGTTTATTCTTCTCAAAACCTCATTACAGCCAACTGTCTAGTAGCAGCCAGAGATCATTTCTGATGTTTTAATAGCATCATTTTTCTTAACCAAGATTTAGAAGAATTGAATCAAGGCTGCCAAGGCTCTTTTGGTTAAAAAAAAGATTAATTCTTTTTCAGGCGTAAAGGTTAATACAGATTTTCCTTTAGTTCTCAAGTTCTTTAATCTTCTCTCTGAATTCCTTTTATGCTTCATCAGGAAGCATTTCCAGATGAGAAATTTCTGCTCCTTATTTTACAGTAGCTCACATTGGCTGCTAAATATAGCATGTTGGCTACAGTGCACTTTTATTCACTCCTGTCAATGGTTACAAAAATCTTGTGTGGTTTTTAAACCCAGACATCCAAATAAACTGATTTCCTTTAGGCAGATTCATTGCACTGAGCAGTATCTGCTGCAAAAGGGCAGAGCAGCAGAAGGAATAGTTTTGGAGAGACTTGGAGGCGGGGTGTAGGGATGATGCTGCAAGAGAACTGAGTTGATGTGCAGAGAGGAGGATGAGAAGAGACTGGAAGAGTGGCAGAAGAGTAATGGAATAGGAAAGGGATCATGGGAAGATAGGTAAGTGGAGAAATTATGATTGAAGAGAAGTTAATGGAAGTAAATAAGGCTAATTGAACTGAAATGAGGGGGGAAATCCGTAGAAGCCAAAAAGGATGCAGAAGAAAGCTCTGTAATTGTAAATATTAAGCTTTCCCTCAGTCATTCTCTACATGTAGATGTAATTACAGCTACATCACTGCTCCCTATCAGAGGCTCAGTTCAAATGAACCTGTGTCCTTTACCTCCACAGAGAAGCAGGCATTGCCCCGACTCCCATACGTAAGGGCAGGCTTCTTGTTGCTGAGCCAGAGGTTGTCCGAAATTACAGTGTAATCAATATCAGAGAAAAAGTGCTGTTTTTCTTCTTCAAGTAAGTTTTCTAGCCCCAAGGACCCTGCTTCTTCCATGCCTTCAATTACAAACTTGAAGTTCACTGGCATAGCCTAAATTAATGTTAGAAAAGTCTGGATAAGAAACAAGCATTTTCAAAAATAAAAATAAAAAATAAAAAATAATAAAAAAAGTGCTTTAAAATAGGAGCAGACTGTCTTGATGTAACCTTGTGTTAGGAAAAGAAGGATGTAGGATATATATCTTGCTTCAGTAGAAACATCTGGTGACAGACACATTTAGGTTCTCACAAAAACTTGTTCTTTTCCCCATATTTTTATCTACTTTTTGTTTTTGAGGAAGAGTAAGTGATATCTTTTTTGTGTGTTTTTTCAGAAAATTTTCTAGAATGTCTCATTAAATGGGCTTTCTCTCAGGGCTATTCAATAATCTAGTGGCTTTGGAAATTCTAACTGTGTAATAGCAGTTACATTTTCACTGAATATTTCCTTTCTCTTGTGTTTCCACTCTTACTGCCCATGCAGGAACCACTGGCTGTGGTTTTCCCAGTGTGTTGTCTATCACCAGATTTATAGGGTGATAAAAATGTTGCCACTGATTCTACTATAACTGTTGTTTTAGCACTCATGAATTTGCGTGCCTGCTGGTTGATAAGGATGCATTTCCAAGAGTAATTAGGAGAACCTTTATTATGGAATAGTGGGAGCTGGAAATGCTGACACATCCCATAGGGGATATAAATTTCAACTTAGTTTCCTGTTACAATTCACTTTCTCATTACAGGTTTTAAGATGTTTTCTCTTTTGATTCAATGCTCAGATTAAAGGCAAGAAGAAATGTGTAAAATAAAATGAACTTGTGTCACCGACAGTTCATCGACCAGCCACAAAAATTTTAGAAACAAACTGTTCATGAATATTGTTTGATGGCCTGTGCTGTTTTCTAGAAGGGCTTTAAAAGACAAAGATTTCTTTTTGCTTGCTTGTTAAAATGTAAAACTAGCTATATAGTAATTTGAAAAACTGGAAAGATGAATGAAGTCAGACCCACAGCCATATTTACTTACAACAACTGCTCTTTAGGCATGTAACATGTGTGTTTACTATCACTTAAGAGACATCAAGGTCTATTCAGTACTATAGATGCAAGAAAAACGTGCTTTCAAGAAGCTTGCAAGAGGACTTTAAAAAAAATCAAGACTTAATGATCAATTTGTGCCACAAAATCCTAAAAATGGCACAAAACTGTTCCTCAGCACTCTAAAAGAATATGTAGTGCAAATTCACCTTAAAGGATGCTAGTTAACCAAGTTATTAGTTTAGAATATATATTGGTTTAGCTTTGTATTGGGGATACAACTAAACCAAATTATTAAATGATTTGAAGATGACTATACTGGTCATTGTAGTAATATAGGCAAATGTTTGACCTTAAGATATGTCAGTCTCTGAGTGATTGTATTTGTACTTTGTTAATGCATCCATTCAAAGCATTTGCTTTGATAAACCTAATCTATTGGTGACATAACAGCCCCTTATGTAGGAGCATTTTTAGATAATTATTCTCTTCATACAGACACATAAAATGAAGGTATCTTCAAAAGTAGGCAGACAAAACCAAGGATCAGCAGAACGTAACAGCAGAGAGGAGTCTTCATGAACATTCTGTAATATCTTTATTTTACCATTTTAAAAGCTCTCAAGAGAATAGGGTATCAAAGCTGTGTAATGTATGCAATACATATTGAATGCTTCCCCATGGGTTTTCCTCTGCTGGGCAATGGCAGCAATACTGTATTTACACTGCATACAGATTGTTCAAAATAGAAGTGCTTAAGGACAAATTCTTACTGGAGTGAGACCCAGTTGCCTAAACGATGCAGTAGAAATAAGCTAATATTTCAAAATGTATGCACTCTGTTGGATCAAAAATGTATCATCTAACTCACAGGAATAAATACAAAGACATCCCTCCAGAAATATAATAAATAGTAATAACAAATAAATAATAATAACAATAATAATAAACAATAATAATGAAGTCCTCATTGATACCTACTAATTTCAAGGCTCTAAATGTTTCCACGGCATTTATCCAGGCTAAGACAGGTCCCTTATTGTCTGTTGCTCCACGTCCATAGAGGTTTCCTTAAAAAGAAAAGAGGAATGTTTTTAAGCATTACTTCAATGCAATCAGAAAATTCCAGTTGCCAGAGAAGCTGTAGTGATGTGTGAAGTGAAACAAGTGAAGTGAAGTGAAGTGTCAAAAGATTCAGGATTTCACTGACTCATTTTAGATAAGGTGATGAGTGTTCAGGTGCTTCCCGATGGACTGGTGCACTTTTTTTTTCATCTCCTTCCTTTTACATACATCATACTGTGGTTTCTGCTGCATGCCAATTTTTGAGCTTGACTTTTTTCCTCAGGAACTGTTTGTTCATACCAGACGTGCCTGGAAAGTTTGCACAGTATGCAACTTCTGGACACATCAACCAAACCAGGTAACAAGCAGCAAAAACCCTACCATAAATACCATGGCAGAAGTATGAAGCTGCAAATCTAGGTATGTAACTTCTTTTTCAACTGTACAGTTATACACAGGGGCAGATTTCAGTTTCATGTGCAGTGATAAACTTCTGTAGCAGTCCCCACTGGATACACTGGAGACAGGAGAATTACTCCAGTAAGTCTGTTTGAAATTGGTCCCAGCTGATGAGAAAGGGTGACTTAATGTTTATAGTACAGGCCTGGGAATCAGGATTTCTGAGGTCTTACTTATCTGCTGACCTTGCCATTTCTGCTCCTTCAGTCAGCTGACTGCAGTGGAAGGATGATTACCTTAAGGAGGGGGAGGGTAGCTCATATTCTTCCACCACCAATGCTCTTTAGCTCCAGCGTGGCAGGTGGAATTACTAAAGTGGCGTGAAGCAAGGGCAGGAGGTTTGAGGAAGGATAATGGTTGATACAAAAATCCAATAAGAATTTTTAAGCAGAAATGGATTCTCTCCTGAAAACTCTATAAAGCAGCTTTAACCTCCTGAGGCTACTCCACATCAAATATTAGGAAAGATTTCCACCGGAGAATTCCTCATGCTTCGGTTAAATATACGGGAAGCCTCCTCCCACTCAGAATCTCAGTCGTGTGTTCAAATAATGAAAAAAAACCTTAAGATTTTTACACACCATTGATTTCAGTCAGTGTATAAGGCTCAGTGTTCCAGCCATCTTCTTTTTTGGCAGGCTGCACATCCACATGACCATAGAAACATATGGTGGGATTTTGTGGATCCTTCCCCAGTTCCCCAAGAATCACAGGAGGCAGTGGGAGGTCCTGGCTATCAGGCAGCTGTGGAGAAAGCAATGAAGGAAAAAAAAAAAAAGCAATGAAGGAAAAAAAACCCTTTGAAAAGAAATATACAAAAAGCCCTGAAAATCTCAGTATTGAAAATACTTCTACATACTTAATGGGCTTGGATTCAATTAAGTGCACAAATTTGACTGAATCCTTCTCTAACCTATTCAGAGAAACTAAAATTTGTTTCCCCGCCTCTTTAGATACTGCAAGGACTTTATGAAGCTCTTCTAACGTTTTATTGTCAAAAATGCCCTTCTTACAAACTCTCACTTCCTAGCACTGGAGAAGACAGAGCTCAGTGTGTGCTGTAGAGTCTGTCGTGGTGCTGAAATAGTCAAAAGCCATACAAATTAATTTGGGGTTTGATTTCACCACAGACAGAGAGCAGGAGGCCCATAGCCTCAAATATAGAAACAAAATAAAGTGTTGCTGGCAGGAAGCAGCAGCAGCTATGTCAGACTGATTTGAAAACAGCTTGTTAAGGCTCTAAATCCTGTAATGTACCTCTGTGCAGAACAGAGTTCTTACATGGCCCAATTGCTTTCTTTAAAGCTATCAAATTACATAACCTGAAATATTGAAGTGTTGCTGTACTATAAGGTCCTTGTGCTAAGACTCTCAGAATCCTCCCCAGAAGCCTCAGAAAAAGGAAAAGGGAATCACTATTATTGAACTTTTGAATTCCTGTTAGAGTAGAAATGTAAAAGCCTGGGGCAGAAAAGAGCCCCCAGCTACAGTAAGGTAAGTAAATTAGAGACAAAAATTTCTCAGAGATTATTTTTTGCTTTCCAGCAATCATTAAGAAAATAGCCCGCATCATTTGCCAGAAGCTCCCAAAACCAAAGATGATACCTTAGATAGATAACCTTTTCTGTCTGACAATATTTTCTGTGCAAGAGCTGCCTCACTCATATAGAGACTTCGGTGACAAACAATGCGTTATCTCTCGTGCGTCACGAGTGAGAAGAATGTAAAAACAAGCCCTGGTAAAAAACTCAGTCCTTTTACTTTTGCAGACTGCTTCTCTCCAGTTAAAAGTATCAAACTCCCTGCTGCAGAGAACATCTATTTGCATTTGGATTCTTTGTGTGTTTTCTAAGTATGTTCTTGGACAGTCTGGGGAGGGACTGATTTCAGCAGATACCATGTAGGTACAGGACTATTGATAATTGATAGCTAGCTACCAAAAATGCCATAATGTCATAACATACATATACACAGCACTGAATGCAATAGGTAGATCACATGCAAATATGATGATTTAAATCAAAGAATCAGACAGGCACCTGATGTGACCCCAGGTTTACTAAATTGACAGTGGCTCCCAATGCTGCAAGTCTGTCTGCTGCCACTACCATCATTCGTACTACTTCTTTCCTCAGGTCTGGTTGAACAGAGTCGCTTTCCACAGCCACCCATTCCTTAAGATTCTGCATAGGAAGAAAAATGCACTTAGATTACCCAGAATGTTGTGGTGTTTTGCCCTTGACATCAGAAATCTCACACTGGAAGATGGTTTCCTTTCTGTATCATCACAGCAATGTTGTAGATACTCTAAGGTTTCAGAATAAAGATGAATTGCTTAGATGTTTCCCCAGGGTTGAGATCCCTGATTTTCTGAAGAGGAAGGGTGCTCACACTTAGGCATTCACATCATCAACCATGGATTTAAAATCCAGTGGAACAGGAGGTAGATGCTGACTAGTTTACGTTGTAGGAATTGCATTATGTACAAACTACCTTGGTGGCCCTCGAAGGGATTCAGAAATGCTTGTAGCTTTAAAGCATAACTGATACTGACTGGACTAATTATGTTCCTGCCTTTTCACAGCGGGCTCACAAAAATGAAAGCACAAATCAGCATGGAACCAAGACTCCTCTCCTTGTCAAGAGCAAACCTACAGCAATCAGTTCTGATGTAAAGCAAGAGAGCAAGTATCCTATCTGGCTTGCCGTCTACCATGCAGTGCATTTTGGCTCAGTGGAACCTCTCTCTGCACACACTCAAAGGATGCCCACAACTATCTCTTTTGTGGAAGTCCATGCAAATCCCTTTTTCACCACTAGTGTCCTCAGCACAGTCCATCCCCTTGCAGCCTTGCTTTGTGAAGTTCATGTTCCACTCTTGATGCCAGACCTGGAATGCTGCCCACTACCTTAGTGACAAACACTTCTTCAGAACACAGCACAGGCCTCTGGGGTACCAGCTCCGCACTCACCATTTCATGGCAATATAGTTCCTACCTCAATGAAATCATCTTGATGTGCATCAATGTACTGGAAGATCTCTATCTCCAGAGCTGAAGCGGATGAGGAGGACATTACTGCCTTAGGGAGCAACACAGGGCTGAGCTGAATGGTATCTGAAAGTTTAGGATAAAATTCAATATGTTACAGACATCCTGCACTTCTTTTCAGTGCTAGAAATCATAGACAATTCCAAAGTCCTGAGCCTAATTAACTCTCATTTAATCTCTTCAATCCAGGAGAAAGGGTACCTGCAATATTTTTTCACATAAAACCTTCAAATGACTCAAAGTCAAGTTGCTGAAACAAAAATTTGAGAAAAATGACTGAAGAGTGAGCAGCTTCGCAGTTTCTGCTTTATAAGTAAATTAGGGGAAACATTTTCTAAAGGAACATTTGTTGCATCAGTTTGCAAGGCACAAATGTCAAATTGTATGTTCTGGGAAGACTAGCACCCAACACCAAGAGCCCACGGGACTCATCTCTCTTTCTTCATTTCCAGAATCTTAGAATGCCCTGAGCTGGAAGGGACCCACAAGGATCATGGAGTCCAATTACGGGCCCAGCACAGGATCATAGAATCATAGAATTAACTGGGTTGGAAAGAGACCTCCAAGATCATCAAGTCCAACCCTTGATCCAGCCCCACTGTGATTATTAGATCATGGCACTCAGTGCCACATCCATCCTCGTCTTAAAAACCTCCGGGGACTGTGAATCCATCTCTGGGCAGGCCATTCCAATGCCTGATCACTTTCTCTGTAAAGAACTTCTTTCTAATATCCAACCTAAACCTCCCCTGACAGAGCTTAAGCCCGTACCCTCTTGTCCTCTTGGATAACTCCAAGAATCATACCATATGCCTGAAAGCATTGCCCAGATGGTTCCTGAACTCTGCCAGGCTTGGTGCTGTGACCACTTCCCTGGGGAGCCTGTTCCCATGCCCAACCACCCTCTGGGTGAAGAACGTTTTCCTGATATTCAGTTTAAACCTCCCCTGACACAACTTCAGGTCATTCCCTCGGGTCACTGATCACCAGAGAAAAGAGATCAGTGCCTGCTCTTCCATTTTCCCTCCTGAGGAATGAGACCTCCCCTCACTCTCCTCTTCTTCAGGCTCAACAGACCAAGTACCCTCAGCCACTCCTCCTAAGGTTTCCCCTCGAGGTCCTTCACCATCCTTGCTGCCCTTCTTTGGACACTCTCTGTCAGCTTAATATCTTTCTCATATTGTGGTGCCCAAAGCTGAACAAAATAATCAAGGTGAGGCTGTGCCAGCGCAGAGCAGAGCAGGGCAATCCCCTCCCTCAACCAGCTGGCGATGCTTTGTCTGATGACCCCCAGGACATGATTGGCCCTCCTGGCTGCCAGAGGGAGGGAGAAAAATGAATTAACTCATGCACATTCCATAGTTAACATGAATAAGGGAGAACAAGCCTTATACTGAAAAAATAGCTTTTGTTTTTGAATAATTGTCAATACTGAAACACTTGATAAGTGCAGAAGGCACCTCTCTGCCATCTTGTTTTTGACAAGATAAATAAAGATTTAAAAAACATAAGATTTTAAAGTGTGTTTTTCTTCATTCCTGCAATTTTCCCTCCATGTTTCCTTGAAGTTGTTGCTGTAGTGTCTTAAATTGGTAGAGTAATACGTGAATGCTAGATACTTGGTTGGGCTAAATTCAGAATAGCTGTGGTATTGGGCTATGATGGGATGGATTCCAAGGTCAAAACCTAACACTTTTATTCAAAAAATATTCTATACTGGTAACAAAATGTGCAGTTCCAAGCCCATCCATAATTCCTTAACTTTGATGCATTGCTAAGGTGATAGGCTATGGTAATATTAATAATTTCTATTATGTTTCCCTGACAGAGAAGAAAGATTGAAAACCCAAGCTTGATGAATAAGATGAGGGAAACATTGTTCCTTTTGGCTGGAGATCCTGGCTGTATGAAGGATGGGCCCCATTTTCCAGCCTTCCCTTAGGAGCAAGGTTGCAAGGTTTACTTCACTTCATGAAGTAAAGCTTTGAGAAGCCCTGTAGATGTTATCCCCAGTGTCCATTTCCTGAAACTGGAAACACTGGTATTGAAAGAGATCAAATGCTGACTTTGCAGGAGAGTGAAGCTGCAAAGCTGTGGAGATGACTTGTTAACTGAGAGAAGAAAATCTAAATTTGGGTGTAATTTTTAAGATGGAGAGATTAAGTGTTTAATTAAATTATTTAAATGTAGAACTATTTTTTAAACACTGATACATGCTGAGGAAAAGAAACCCAATCTTAAGTGACGATCAAAGTACCATTTTCTTCTCACATTTTTTTCTCCATAAAAAGGTAAACACTACCTCCAAGAGGTGGATCTAAACAACAACCCTCTTTAGATATTATCATCACTAGTCACAGCAGCAGCAATTTGGCCCAAAGCAAAAGGGATTATTACAGGAATTCTTGAAGCAGCATGGGAAAAAATCAAGACATTTCAAAAGAATCAAAGCAGCTTCTGGGATTTAGCAACAAGGGAGGATGAGGTTTTGATAGCTTAGGTTACAGTAATTTTTGAATTGAACTTCTGCGGGTAAGGCTTAACAACAGGAGTTCTGCAACAAGCACCCCAGACTTGAACACCCCTGTCTGGCTATTTCTTCCAGCCTCAGACTGTGCAAGTGGCTGCAAATATTTGGCAACTGTGCATTTTACAGAGGACAATAGAAGTAGATCTCAGAAATGGTCAGGAGAACATCCCAGGCTTCACAGGATGGAGGAGAGAGGACTGGGAGTACCATACTGGGATGGTGATAACTGGTCCCTGATGAACTGAGCTTCCCTGACACAGACAAGATGCTGGCACTTGCTGGAGCAGTACCGGGGTAGATACAGGAGGGCACTTGAGCCGAAACACTGCAAGTCATGTCTGAAAGGGGCCCAAGGTTCCCTGATCAATATTAAGTAAAAGCTGACCATTTATGCTGTTTGCTTCTCTTTTTATTGCTGTGTGCTTTTGGGGTGCCAGGCAATGGCTCTGCTTGTGTGATGTTGCTTGATCTCATTCTAGCCAGCAGTGAGTTCCAAGAGAGCAAGGTTATCTTCACACTGGCCCTTTTGACAGATAGAGTGTATTCTACCTGTGAGCTGGGTCTTGCAGAAGGGAGCTGATTCCCACACAAGCTGAGGAGAGGATGGGACCCCAATAGGTACATTTGTGAGGGCCTCCAAAAAAGTGCAAGGCATCATGCCTCCAGAAGAGAGTGATAGGAATGGGCATTGTACAGTGTGGTCATTCATCCAAAAATGGGATGAAACCTAGTTTTGCCATGAGCATTGCAAACAGGCAGGTCAAGAGATCCCAGCAAGTGAGGATTTTAATCAGATGTTTATCTAGAGAGACTTCAGGGCCATTATCTTCATTTACCACAAAGCCTGCTGGATGCCTCAGGTTCACACATATTTCACTCATTTTTTTTACCTTTGTATTTCCAAAGCTCAGTTTGGAACATTTGTAACAGAGGCCACTGAATGCACCCTCATTTAACCCTACTGTAGAAAACTAGTCAGGCTTCACCAGGTTCAGTTATGTACAAAATAGACATTTTGGTTATGCCACACTTGAACAGGGAGGATCATAGCACAGGTCATAACAGAGTACTGCTAGAGTAACCAAGCTCATGCAATGAATTTAAGTATCAGTGTCTCCATCAAATATGATTTTACCTCTTTCTAACTGAATATTCAATTTTGCTGAATTCTATGCATTTACACTCTAAAAAGAATGAATATATATCTATATCTATATATCTATATCTCTCTCTATATATGTAGTAGTCACCTTATGGTGACTTGAAGAAACACATACCTTTTAATATCAGAATCACAAAATGGCTGCTTGTACAGGGGATGTGTGCAGAGGTGATGGTATCTTTTTCTTTTTATCTTGGTTAAGTGCAAATGACCTGGAAAGATGCAGACAAGAGACAAATGTCTTCATTATGTTTCATTAGCATCTAACAGTTTAAGAAAATTAAACAAGGAAGCTAAAATGCTGTGAAGGAAAAAAAAAAAAAAACAAAAAACAGAACAAAATAAAGCATACAAATAAAATCTTCTAGGGATATTTAAAATTATTCTGTGATATTTTTGAAACAGATAAACTTCAAGAAAAGCTTATAGAATATCACAAAAATAGTCCTAAAAACAAAAGTGAGTATGAACAGTGGCAAAGTCTGGAAAATGAACATGAGGATATACTTACAGATTAGCAGAGTGCACAAAATATTAATAATTCAAACAAGAAATGAGGTAGCAGCTACATTTGGCTGTGCTTGAGGGAGGGAGGGGAGTAGCTGACGGAACTTCGTGGTAATGCACTAGTAATACACAGGCAATGCTGCTCAGAAGCGTTTGGATCGCAACTGGAAAAAAGCTTATGTGGAAAAGGGAGTCAGTTTAATAAAGCTGTAGAAAGATTTCAGGCAAGGCTAAAATAGCTCTGTGTTATGAGGAGGGGAAAAATTATTTGAAAGGATAATAAAGCCAGGATTGCAGAGAATGTCAAACAAAGACTTCAGTGTTCAGTTTCAATTGTATTTTATTTTATGTCATTTTAAGGAGCAGTTGATGCTTTATAGGAAAATGTAGTATGCCTATTTCTAGAAATAATACATGGCAGTCAGTCGTACACTTTCTCTTCCTTTGTTCAAGAAGGTTTTGTGTCTCACTTCCTCTCATCCAGTTAAGCACTGTTAAAAGAAAACTTAGGGTTCTTGGGCAGTGATTTAACAAGAAATCCAAGTTGATTTTTTAACTAGGATGACTCTGATAAAATATCAACTAAACTTATAAACATATGAGAAGCAGTTCCTGAATGTGTTTTGATGCCCTCCTTGTCACTCCTGAAGTGTGTGCTTTATGCGCTTTCCTCCTTGGGATGCAGCACTTCAGGTGTGTGCAGGGACAGGGCTGCCAATGAAAACTGAACATTTTGCAACCAACATAGAGGAAAACAAAGTCAGAACTCATCCAGTTTGCAGTTAACATAAAGAACATTTGACATGGAAGGAGATAAGGATGTGTATGGCAGTAGGAACTAATTAACCAAATCCATTACTCCATTGAAAGGAACATTCCCTCTAAGCAATCACGTCAAGGAGGTTAACTGAGAAAATAGGGTTATTTAACTTCCTTAACAACATTCATTGATAAGTGGCATACCTTTAATGGAAGCAGGCAAATCAAGCGTCAGTCACTTCTCCAGCTGACTAGGTGAGTCACCTGGGGGAGGAAGAGCAGGATGATAAGTCTTCATGTGGCGGTTCTCAAGTCCAGTCCTGACCACTTACAGCCACTGTTGTTGTAATGACTAGGAGCTGCAGAGATCCAGATACCAGCAGGGAGATGAACACCAGCTCACAGTGCTGACTGCATTTGAAGATGGTTAAAGAAATAGCATCAAATTCAATAAACTGTGTAACAGCAAAGAAAACGTTTGGTGGGAATCATAGGTAAGGTCTGGCACTTCCTGGTATGTGACACTGCAACACCCAGTGCTACTTCCAGCAGTTGGCTCTTAAAGTGTTGCAATAAAAGTCACCTTAAGGGTGTTTTGCAGAATGGTAATGACTAGCCATGCCCTTATTCAAGCCAACCCTGTTTATCAGTTCTGCTTTGCTGTAATACAGACAATGGGTATTGCGAAAGTCCCTATCACTTTGTGCTCTTGTTTTGCAGCTGCCTTTATTGCTACTGATGAGAGCCTGAACTGTAAAGATCTCCTCTTCCACCTGCAGAACTGGATTTTTTTATCTCAATTTACTGATAAGTTCTATAGCTAACAAAGAGATAGTTTTAAGTTAAAGATTAATTTTTGGTTTAGATGCTCATTTCTGCTTCTCTATCATGTAATAATCCAAGTAGGATGGCCAAATCACTAATACATCAAGCCATGAGAAATTTTCCATTCTCCTTTTCCTCCTCCTTTTCTCCCTGGAAGTCCAATATCCCAGCTGGAATCCCAGTGCCAGAAGGCACTTCAGCATTGCTGATTAGTGTTAGTGCTTTACAGTCCTCCTTTTGGAGGACTTAGACAAAAGAGAGGGATTTTGCTTTGACTTAAAAACTGGAAAAGAAAGAATACATTTCTGTTAAGGAGAAGCATTTCTCCCAGGAAGGAGGAGTAATTCACTATTTACCAAAGAAAATTTTCTGCACATTGGTTTGCAATCAGATAAACACCGATATAAAAAGATTCTTCATGGAAAGACAGCTGTGTTGTCTCTTGCTCTTTTCATGGAAAAAAGGTTCTTCGGAAGGAACTGTGGGTTGTACAGTACTTGTACTTGCTTTGTACTGACTTAGGTGTAGATAGCCTCACCATCTTCTGGCTGCCAGTTCTCCCATACCAGAAGGCTGCTGAACTTGTAGAAAATTTTAGGTGCTTGTGTCTCGTACAAGTTTCTGTCCTTAGGGCCCTCTGTCCATTTTGAAAGAACCACTGTTGCTACGGTCAAATTCAGTAATAAGCATCAGTTTTCAAAGGCAAGTCCAGGTCCTGTCTTGGAGCCTTACAATGACCTTTCTTTCTTTTAAGTACTTGTTCTTCATTTGATCAGTGTGTAAAAACTACTTTTTACAAATGAAACATAAAAGTTGGGAGGAAATTAAATGTTTATTTACATTTATATAAAATAATACTATTTTTACATGAATCCTGTCTTCATTTATCCAAACTTTAAAAATTTCACACTGGAGTTATTCCTGAATTACAATAGTGCAAGTGAGATTAAAAATAGCTCTACTAAATGCAGTCATTCAACTATTTGGGTTTTTATCACTTAATACTACGGAGAAACTATACTATTGTGGAAAAAGAAAAAAGCTCTTATTACTTTGTAGCTTATTATTTCATTGCTAATTGTGCCTTATTTTATAACCTATAATTTGGAACAAGGTTTAGGGTCCACAATATAAAAGATTTATTTTTTTACGGTCATTATTCCATTTATCAAGTATCATAAACATTGCCAACATTGTTTAGAAGCATTTTTAAATGTAGGCAGGTTTATCTCCTTAATAAAAACACTCTTTGATACTAGCTTATTAACTACAAGAAATTAAAGAACCAACAAATAGTTTGGCTGTGTTGGCATGGACAACTCTTTGGAATAGAGTAAGTATTTAAGGAGGAGGAAATAGACTGATTAAAGGAAAATAAGATCAGAACTAAAAATAGGATAAAGGGAGAAAAAAAAAGCACCCCTGTCTTTGTTTCTCTTGTGCTTTGAAAACGTAAGCTATCTAGGACAGAGATGGTCTCCTAGTTTTTGTTTCTGTTACTACATCAGGGTAGCGCCCTCAGCTGATTACAAAGTGATGGTACAAACAAAAGCAACTTTATTTCATTTGCACTTCAGCAGAATTAGCACGTTTTAATTGTTACCTTAATTAAAAAGGTATCTTAAGTAATTACCATAAAAAGTTTGAGTGAGCAAATATGTTAGAAATATGCTGTTAGGAGCAGTATTTCATTGACAGAGAAATTACCTGATGGTTTTCAATGTTACCTGTCACTATAAGAAACTACCTCTAGCTCTAGAGAGCTATTTTTCTTTTCTTGAAGGTGTATTGCAGAAAAGCAGAAATTATACTGTAATGTCATAGTCAGTGGCACCTGGTTATTATTGCAGCTTACTCTCATTTCTCAATATGCAGCCTTAATGTAACTTACCACTGTATCTTCGAAGTATTAGTGTGGAATGGAGGGACCCTTTCAACCAATTCCCCAAATCTCTTTCCCCTACTGGTATTTCTACTTCTGCTCCTTGTGCAGCAGCAACAAGCCCTTTCACCTCTTCACTCCTTCGCACTTCACACTGCAGTTGGAAGAGTATTTTCCAGCCACCACCTTTCAAAATAATCACAACTGATACCAGAACCTGGGAACACAACTTTAGCAATATTGCCGACTGCAAGAGCTTGTAAGACAGTGAAATGAGGTTGTGCTGACAGAGAGACAGACACCCCCACGACGCTGAATTAGTAGTTGTTACCTGAATGTCATCATACCTGGGTATGTCAGTGGAAGGAGATTGGTTTAGAAAAGGTCCCCTTACCCAGACCAGAGATCTCACAGTGCTTGACAAGGGCCAGTCCTCTTTATGGAGCAATGATGCTCAGCACCTTCCAGGAGCAGGACCAAAAACATTTGAGGTACTCTGTAAAGGAACAGCAATAACATGGAACCTTCTCACGGCCTGATGGCTCATGAAGCAAGCTCTCTGTACCCAGAACTGCAAGCACGCAGGCTTTAAGTGGTAAGAGAAACAAAGTCTTACTCAGTACCTTTTCCAGTACACTGCACTAAGTGCTAAGATAGGAGCCCATCTTATTTTTCCAAGAGCAACATTGTAAATTCATTTTGCTTAATGATTAAGCAAAAACATCTTCAGATATTAATCACACTGAAACAATGGCAAGAGGTTATTCTGATCTTGATATCCTTCAGATAGCTTAGCTCAGCCAAATAGCATCAGTATTCCCTTGGGGGTGATTAATGCTCTCCTTGCAGATGAGGTTTTTTTATCCAGCCGATAACTCGTAGTTATTCCCAAACAGACACATCAGAGACTGACTTTTTGAGTTCACAGGGTGAAGCTGACGCTAACCGTGCAGTACTTTGTTTATGCAGCTCTTCATACTGCCTCCTCCCAACTCTCTGTGAGGTCCAGGAATTGGCAGAGGAAGGACACGAGTCACTGAGGTGGCGGCATGCATGGTGTCCTTCAAGGCACGCGCCTGGAGTACTACAAAGTTAACTCAGTTTGACACTTCGCTGGCTTCTGCATCTCAGCTGCGTGTCCCAGGAGCTGCAGCCTTTGAAGAAAGGCTTAGGACTATTTT